CAGGTGACCAGCTTGGTGAAGATACTGAGCTGAGTCTATATAGGCTAGGCCCCAGAGCAATGGGATAGGTGCCTGTTTCTATGGTAAAGGCTGTAGGGGAGACCTCTGGCTGAGAACACATCCTCTGGGAGCATGTGGACTGTGCCAGGGTGTGGAATTAAGTGGGATAGGCTTTGGCAGGGGGGTGGTTGGGGAGTGCTGAGGGCCTAGGCTGTGGAGGATAAAGAAGGAAGCTGGGCACCTGCCCTCATCATGCCAGCCAACATCCTCCCTGCCCCCTTCCCTTACCCACGGGCCACCAGCTGGCCTATTGTCTCTCAATGAGAAAGCAGCCTCTAAAGTAAAGGAACGGAGATCAGTGTGCCCAGCCATACACACCAGTAGGGAATTGGGAGGTGAGGAGTGTTTGGGGTTTGGGGGGAGAGAAAAAAAGGAAGGGAACAACCAAGAGAGATGGGGAAATGGAGACTGAGGAAGGGACACAGTCAGAGACAGAGTGAAAACCCTCCACCTTTAGAAGCAGAGAATAAAGGCAGAAACAGCTGTTCAGCAGCAAAGTTCCCCTCCTGAGCTATTGGCAGTGGGGAGCAAGCAGGGCCTGTGAACAGGAGATAAAGAGTTCAGGAAAAGTGTTTTCTCTCACTAACCGTGGATTTGTGTGTTTGTTCAGCTGGTGGCTCCGATAAGCCATATTCTGCCAGATAAAAGCCAGAGCTCTGAGATCAGGGCTGGGGAGGGGGTGTAATGAAGGAGCCATTCCTTCCCTCCCTCTTCTTTCCCTTGGCTGCCTTGCCCTTGGCCTGAAGGGTCCTCTATGAGCTGAGACAGAGAATGGGATGACGCAGGTGGGCTGGGAACCCCTTCCTGAAGACAGACTATTCTTCTCAAGCAGAACCAGCCAGGGCCCCAGTCTCCAGGGAGGAGAGAGCAGGAACATTGCTTCTTAAAAGCCGGGGAATAACTAGGGAATGCCACCCCAGCCACTCTGGACCCACTCAGCAATGTGTAAGCATGTAGAAGAAGCTTGCCTATGGCATCCTCGTGTCACAGAGCCAAGTCTGATCCACACATTGAGGGCGGGAAGTAAGAGGGGAGGAGAAGGGATATCATTACTCAGGGGACCCAACCCCTAAGGGGTGCTAAACAGCACTGCTGGGGTCTTAGAGGGAAGGATCTTGGCATTGCTTCTAGGACTACTCTGTTCTAACCCTTCAGCCTTTCCTGAAGGTACAGAGAAGACTTTCCCACCTGTCACCTCCCATCCAATGCTGGAACCTCAATTTCCCTATCTGGGTAATGGGTCTCATATATTTAACTAATTTAGGTCTCTAGTCCTGGGGAATGCTGGGAGCAACTAGGTGGTGCAGTAGATAGAGCACTAGGCCTGGAGTCAGTAAGACCTGAGTTCAAATCTGGTCTCAGGTACTTACTAGCTGTGTGACCCTGGACAAGTCACTTAATCTATGTCTGCCTCAGTTTCTCCAACTGCTAAATAGAGACAATAATAGCACCTATCTCTTAGAGTTGTTGTGAGGACAAAATAATATTTGTAAAGTGCTTTGTAAATATTAAAGTGCCATATAAATGCTAACTTATTAGTATGCTGGATGTATTAATAGGGCCTTCCTGAGAGCAACAGCCATGTCCTCAGCCCTAGTCGACCAAAAGGGTGCAAATGGTGTATTCGGCTGTATCTAAAACAGGGACACAGACCCAGCTGCCCCTAGGTTGGCTCTTCAGCCTCCCTCCCGACCCATACCATGTCCAGATTTTCAGTCTTTTGTCCTGGGGCTCAGCTCAGCATCTCGGGGGCTGGCGGCTGTCAGCATTGTGGGGACTCTGGCCGGAGCCGCCAGCAGTAAGATGGCTGCCAAGGTTTAAAATGGCTGCCAGAAGCGAACGGGAAGAGAAGCAGAGGGGTTCAGACTAGTCGGATCTGCTTTTAGTCTGGGGGAAGGAAATATCCCTCGCCCAAACCTTTACTCTTCGCCTTTCAATTAAAGTAACAACAATGACGACGATGACGATGATAGTGCTACTGGTCATATTTATGGGTAATTTTCTAGAGGAGAAACGATTTCTCCACTGCTCTCTTTCCCAAGTTCCCTGTCTTAGAATCCCTGCTTCCTTCCCTATCCCTCTCCCCAACTCTGTTTCTTCCTTTTGTCTTCCTGTCTCTGGGTGTGTGTGTGTGTGTGTGTGTGTGTGTGTGTGTGTCTGTCTGTCTGTCTGTCTGTCTGTCTTCTTGGCTTCACCTGATGATTTTGGAATGGAATGGGACAACTCAAGCGATTGTGCCTTCTAAGGGGAATTTCAAAGCAGCTCTGGGACGTTGGAGTATGACCTTTTTGGTCTCCAGCTTCATGGACTTTTCCGAGTTAGGTCAGGAGGTGGGCCTTTTTTTGAACAGAATGTGGGCCATATCTGCTTCTTCCCAGGGCTCCCCCTTACCCTTTTCCCCACAAAGCTACAACTGTATTGGCTCCTTTGGTGGACAAAGGCTCCATGTCCTCTACCATAGTTGACTTGGAGGGGATAGAATGATCCTTAGCAGCTTTATATCTTTGTATGTAACTCAAGCATCTTTGCTTGGAGGCCTTCTGTTCCTAGGTCTGACTCAGGCCTTTAGACTGCCGTTGGGGCAATCTTTGTCCAGGCCCATGGAGCCATGAACCTAGGCTTGTGGGAAGGTGGAGATGAGCTACAGAGCCTATGGTCTGGGAACCAATCTTTTTTTTTTTTTTTTTGAGGCAGTCAGGGTTAAGTGACTTGCCCAAGGTCACACAGCTAGTAAGTGTCAAGTGTCTGAGGCTGGGTTTGAAACTCAGCTCCTCCTGACTCCAGGACTGGTGCTCTGTCCACTGCATAAGGGAATCAATCTTGAAGATCCTGGAGGAGAGTGGTGGTTGTTGTGGTGGTAGGCGTAGTGAGGAAACTGCCCCTTATGGTCCCACAAATACCTAATAATAACAGTAATCCTTTAGCCAAGCTGGTTGGAGCTTAAGCTCAGATCCAGGATGAATCATGTAAGAGTTGAAAGAAACTTTGCAGGTCAACTAGACCAACCCATACCTAAGCCAAGTAGGAATTTCCTTTACAAAATCCCCAACAAATGGTCATCCAGCCTCTACTTGAAATCTTACCAATCTATCTTACCAATAGAAACTCACTAGCTATGGAGGCAGCCCATTTCACTTTTGGACACTTTCTAATCCTAATTTCACTTTCTAATTATTTAGGAAGCTCAAGAAGTTGAAAATTAAAGTGACTAGAAATCTATTTATTCCTACTTTCCCTTAGCATTGTACTTCTCTAGATGAGAAGCTACCTCTTCTAGGCAGCTCCTTTAGTTGGATTCCTCATTAAATAGGACTTTTCCTATAGGCTCCTTCCAAAGCATAGGAAAGCATACAAATAAGTGGCCCTGTAAGCAGCTGCCTCTCCCTACCCAGTAAAAGCTATGTGGGAGGTAGGGGCCCAGGGTTGGCACAGTACAGGTTGGTAGGATTGGGGCATAGTCTTTGCCCTTCACTGTGGGCTGAACCAAGTCAGGGAAACTAAGATCTAGATTCTGTAGCGATGTCCAGCTCCAAGATGTAGAAGGGCCTTTCCTTCAAGAATACTGGTGCAGACTTCCCTTACCCTGGAGTATTTTGGGGTTATTAATCACAGCTTTCCCCTTCTGTGGTTGAAGTAGGAACTGGCCCCCTTCCCTTCTTCCCACTGTTCTCTCCCCCCAGCACTTGGACCTGGAAGGATTATGGTGGGGCAGTAGTCTGCAGGCAAGCCTCTCCAGAAGGAAAGTAATGGAATGTAGTGGAAACATTAGATTTGGAGTCAAAAGGCCTTCCATTTATTGCCTATATGACAGTGCTACTAAACCTCTTGATGGCTCAATTTTCCTCATCTGTAAAATGAGGAAATTGGATTAGATGATCTCTAAGGTGTCTTCTAGCTCTGAATCTGATGAGAATCCCAGGATTCCCTGCCTTCCAGGATCAGGAGTCACTAACGTGAAATTCCCAGATATCAGACCAGAAAGGGCTCTGTAGTTCTCTCCCTCTCGGAGAAATCCCACCCCCACACACCTACTGACAGCCCAGTACCAATCTAGCTTTGTACTTGCCTTAACCTGACAACTGGGATTGGCCTGTCTGCTCTTGGTGATCCTCATCCCTTCTCAGAAGTGTCCACATTGCTTCTCTCTATATGCCCACCCCCAACTGGCCTCTGGCTTCCCTGCTTCTTTAGCTTTCTGCCAACTGCCATGCCCAGGCGGGCATTCTGGAGGTCCCTGTAGTGCCCCTGGCACACAAAGCATTGGGGGATAGTGGGATGGAGAAGGAAGGGGGCTTTCCCAAGCTCAGCAAAATATTCACACACACACACACACACACACACACACACACTATCCGTGCCTCTCTGAGAGCTGTACAATAGGACCCTTGTGTCTGAGCTCTGAGCAGCTGTGGCACTGGGGCATGAGACAGCCCCAGACTGGCTGGCACAAAACGGGCAACAGTGTCGGGGGCACACCTCCCCCCTCTGGGTTGCCAGGCACTGCCTGCAAGCTTAAAGGTGAAAGGGTAGGGTGGGGTAGGGTGTATATGGGGGTGGGGGGAGGCGGGCATGAAAGAATGGCTGGGAATGGAGTTAATTAATTAAAGGAGCATCTCATCTGCCAGCCAAAGGATGTGGGGGATGGGGACTCCTAAGGCCTCTCTAGCTGTGGGAGGAAACCTGGTCTGGGAGCTGAATTCTTTCTCCAGCTTCATCCTTGTCGTGGTTTGAACCCCCCTTTTTTTCTCTCCTGACCTTCTTCTTCTGAGATCTCTTGGAGTTTTCTCCTCTGCTGACATTTGGGCCGTGGCTTCTGGGTGGGGGTGGAGTGGGAATGGGGAAGAGGGAGTTAGGATTAAGTTATTCCTGGGTAGCCTGATGGTCTGCCCTGGGGTGAAACCTGAGCTTAACCCCATCTGCCCCTTTGTATCTCCTGGCAGAATCCGGACAATCAGACAGTTCAAACCAGCAAGGAGATGCGGACATCAAACCACTGCCCAATGGTGAGTCCCTTTCCCCTTTCTCTCTCCCACTCATCCCTGACCTGCCCAGGTCTACCTTTGTCCTTCCTTCCACTTCCCCTTTGTCACGGATCTCTGGGTCATTTGGAAGAACCCATGAGTCATCTGGGGCACTCCACTTCCCATGGCCCCAACACTATCCCCTCCAGGGCAAACTTGGAGGTCAAGGCATGGGTAGAGCCTTGAGACTCCACTGGGAGGGGAGGCAAGAGATGCCAGAGTCCCCTTCTCTCCCTATCCTTGTCTCACCTGTCTTCTTCTCCCTTGTAGGGCACTTAAGTTTCCAAGACTGCTTTGTGACCTCTGGGGTCTGGAATGTGACTGAGCTGGTCAGAGTATCACAGAGTAAGTGAACCCCCTTCCTCCCAGGCCCGGAACCAGGCTGATTGAGGAAGTTGGGTTGGGAGGGACCCCGTTGTTGCCCCCATGTTGAGTGACTGGCCACTGCTATCCTTGCTCTGCAAGGTTTGCGGAGAGGGCAAATGGAGATCTCTCCAGACAGAGGCTTCTCTCTCTTCTACCCCACACAGTCACTACTCCCACCCCTTGCTATGGTAGGTCTTATTCCTTCAACAGGAGTCAATTCAGGGCAAAGCTATATAGACTCTGAGGAAGAAAAAAACTGGCCTGGTGCCTTAATCTCTACCACCATGGAGGAGAAAATTTGTACTCGAAAGAGTTTGTCAGGAGGGAGACCCTCCTCACCCAGGGACATGGCCCTGTGCCCATGGTTATCCTGGGCCTCCAACTGCAGAATGGGTCCGAAGCTCTTGGTTATTGGTTATTCCTAGAGAGTCTGATTAAAGAGAAGTCAGCCTCAAGCTGGTGGAGCCTCCCCAGTCTTCTCTGACCCAGAAGGTACCTTCTTGCCCTAACCTCTTAAAGATAGGATGCCAAAAAAAGGCCAGTCTGTCTTGTTCTTTCCGACCTCATGGTCTTCTTTCTTCCCCATCTAGCTCCTGTTGCTACGGCGTCAGGGCCTAACTTCTCCCTGGCGGATTTGGAGAGCCCCAGTTATTACAACATAAACCAGGTGACCCTTGGGCGGCGGTCCATCACCTCCCCTCCTTCCACCAGGTAAGTGTGGCCTTCAGTACTCACTGAACTTTCTGGTCTTCACTGCCTTTCTGTCACACATCATCCGAGGCCTTTGGCATGCCTCAGGGATAAATTATGAAAAATGAGGTTATAGACATTGGTGCCTATTAAGAGTTGGGAATGGTGAGGTCTTTTCAGTTTCATAGGGATGCCAACCCCAGGCCTGCATGTGCCAGATAATGTCAGAAGGCATGGGGATTGCTACCTTTCCCCAGTATATGCCAGTATTGCTAGGGAAGAACCCTCCAAATTCTAGGGGTTCACTCCAACTCTAGCCAGCTCTTCCCTTCCCCCTCCTCCCTACCTCTTGGGAATGGGTGCCTTTCTAGGAAAACTAAGACTGACTTCCTGGATTCGGTCCCCATTCTGCCCCCTTCTGACTCTCTTTCTTTCTTCCATTCAGCACCACCAAGCGCCCTAAGTCCATAGATGACAGCGAGATGGAGAGCCCCGTGGATGACGTGTTCTACCCTGGGACAGGACGGTCCCCAGCAGCTGGTAGCAGCCAGTCCAGTGGTTGGCCCAATGATGTGGATGCAGGTACAATTACCTTAGCAATGCCCTACCTAGAACAGGGAGTCAGGGACTAGGGAGTCTAGGCTAGTCCTAAATTGGGGTGAACTCCCTTTCCCCTTTCAGTCCCAATAAGTTCCACTTCAGTAAGAGGCTTAGGTATATACAGCAAAGATATTCCTCTTCCTTTCTAGCCTTCCTGCATGCTCCCTCTGGCTTTGCCCCAGGGAGCCTCACATTGCCAAGTTTGGGGTGCTCTCCTCACCCTAGCCTTTCCCAATGAGAGCCAGGCTAGGCAAAAGGTATGAGGGAGAGTTCTGCTGCCTCTTTGCCAGTGAGCATTGCTCAGTGATCAAGATGACATGGAGGGCAGGGACCCAAGGAAGGCTACCCTCCAGCTTTATATAGTGAAAAAGTTTTCATTTCTCTTTCAGTCCCTCCCTTAGCCTCTCTGTTGCTGGCTTTTTTCAATCAAATCACCACCAATTCTATGGTTCCCTTTTCACTGCACAAAGTACTCACTTGTAGAGAAAACAGAGGAGCCCAAGAGAAAGGGAGAGAGGGTAGAGAGACTCTTAGATCAGACTGAGGGGTTTAGATAGAAGAGAGGGTCTTGTGAAGAACCCATGGAATGAGATAACCATAAGAAAAAATGAACCGCTCTTAGGTATTTCCCTCTGAGTATTCCCAAGGTAGGGAGACCCTATCTCTGAGCTACCCTACCCCCTACCTTTCCTTCTGAGGTCAGTTGTCACCGTCTGACACTCAGACCTGAAGAAATAATGGACTTCTATGTATGTGAAAAGAGGGTCTGTGTGCAATGCCTCTAAAAAGGCATAAAAAGGTTATACCTGTGCACATGTGGGTGGGTGTCTGTGAGTATAGACTTACGTGTTTGTAAGGAGGGCATATATACAACACCTTGGTGCATGTAAGGGTCACATATGTGGGCATGTTTGTCCCACAGGTTGTGAGGTTAGAGTTTTATAAAAACTGGAGCTGTGTGTAAAGAGTGAATGTTCAGGATGCCTCAATAGGAATGTGTGAGCATGAGTGCATATGCGAGGAGGATGTTGGCATGCTACCTGGTTATACTGCATTGTGTGGACATGTATGTACCTTGTAAGGAGATTACATGCCTGATGTCATAATGAACATGTAGCTTGTGTGCTTGTGAATAGAATGGTACCATATCTCAATGTTTGTGGGCAGGGCAGGTGAACATGGTCACATGGTGACCATGTGTAGATGTGTAGATGAAAAGAGAATAGTTGCGCAATGTTTGGATCACAGATGTGGTCACATGGGTGTAGATGTGAATGTTCTTGTGTGTATGCACAATCCCTGGATGGGTGGGCTCGTGAGTAGGGATACCTGGGTATGTACGTAGGTAAGGACATGTGAATAGTCAGGCCTCTCAGTGGTGTTGGTTTTTGTATACAGGACAAGTTAGGGACTTACCTGATGGAAAGCCCTGTTGCTTTGGAATGTTATTTGCCTTTTATAGAGCTTTCAAAGTGAGGAATGGGGGCCAGATAAGCCCTGTGAACTAGTCTAGGTTGGCTAGACTGGGTTAGACTGGGTTGGGGTCATCCTTCTTTTGAAAAGGATTTAGCGGATGGGGAAAGGAAAGTTGGGTGCTTTTCTGGGTGTTTTCTTGCTTTGTCTTTCATTCTTGCCTCTTTACCCCCCCAAACGCAAGCTCTATGTCTCAGTTTTGTTTCGTTTTGTTTTTTGCTCCCCAGAATGGGAAGATAAGTGCTTATCTTCATGTCCACAGAGGGGCTTTGAGATCCTTAGGCTCTTCCCAAAATTTGCCCTGTATAGGACAGCTGCTGTTCTGGAGTGGTTCCTGGGGCCCCCTGTGGACTAGGCTAGCCAAAACAGGGGTTCTGGGTTCTTGTCTTGAGAGAGTTGATGGGAGTGAGAATGAAGGGAGAAATGAGACTAAAGAAGTGGAAAAGTAATTGTAGAGAATGCGCTGGGTAGGCTAGAGGGTCAATGCCAGTGAATGAATGTATAAATGAATGAATGCATGAAAAAACATTAAGTGCTAGGCAGCTGCTCCTCTCTGGATGATAGAAGTTGTCCCATGGGGAGGGAGAATAAGGTAGTAGTGCCCTAGTGACAGTGCCATGAAGTTGGCATTGGACAGGCCATCCCATGAGACTCTGAGGTAGTGAGGAGTGAGGCCCCCCTCTCTGCTGGGCTCTTCTCTAGCAGATCTCTCCTTTCTCCCCTGTACCAACATTCCTCTTGGTGTGCTGTGTTTAGGGCTGAGGATTCTCCAGCCTGGCTAGTGCCCCCCATCCTCCTGCAGCCCCTGTTTCTGTGGACAGATGCCCTCTAGCCCTCAGCTCCTGAGTCTCTCCTCTTCTTCCCCTGCCTTTCTCTCTCAACGACTCTATTCATGTTGTTCCCTGTGCTGCTGACAAATCGCCAATTAAGCAGCCCAGCTGCAGGACCAGGAACAGCTGGGGAGGTGCTGTGTGGCAGTGGGGACAGCTGTGCACAGCTGGCGGGAGCTCCCCCACCCCCACTGTCATGCCAGCTATCAGGTGGCACACAGCTGCCACCAGATAACACTTCTGCTGGTGACTGGGAGCTCTCCTCCTCCCTTTCCTTTCCATTCTCTCCCCTCTCCCCTCTCCCCTACCCCACCTCCTCTTCTTTGCAGTCTAGATGACTCTCACATCCCTTCAGCTTGGCTGTCCCCTGAAGAAATCAGCCCTAGAGCCTTTGGCACCTCTTTTTTCCCATTCCCAATCCTGGCACCTCTAAACTCACCTCCTGCCTCCTGTGCCCCTTGTCACCAATGCAAGAGTCCTTCCTGCCAAGGGGGAAGGCACTGCCCCCAAGCCATGCAGAGTAGCACCTGCTCTAACCTGGCGCTATTCAGACACCGCACCAGCTAAACCCAGGGACATCTGTAATTGCCAACCCCAGAGCTGTTAGAATTAGGGACAGGCAGGGGGCTCTCTCTGCATCCTTATTTTCAGCTGGGTGGCAACCCCAGAATCTAGTGATGACGCCTCAGGAGAATGAATAGTCCATTATGTGTGACCCAGTCATTCATCTCCTTCCTCCATTCCTGAGGGCAGTAGTTCTGACAGGCTTTGCCCCAGCTTTATCTGGTCATCTGGGAGAGTGTGTGACAAAATGCTTTAAATGTTAGCTGTCCTTGTCCTTGATGGTGTTTCTTTTTGCTGTTGTCATCTGAGGCCTTGTCCAGGGTTCCCTCTAACCTAAATCCTACCCTTCCTTGAGGAACCATGGCCTCAAGACTACTGTGCACTCCCTTTTCTGCACCCATGCTCAGTAAGAACAAAGAGAGACATCTGATTTTGGGGTTTCCTTGATTCCCCACCCTCTCTCCAGGTCTAGGCTGCCGTCATACCCAGGGTATATCAGGAGGGAGATAGTAGGAAAAAGACAGGAATGGGAAACAAGGTGGAAGGGAGTAGGAGGGATGCAGGGTAGGGGCCCTGGCCACCTTGTCCCTGTGAGCCCCATTCTGGTTTCTTCCCTCACCCCCAAGACCTGCTCACCACCCTCCTTCCTCTCCCTGCCAACCCTGTGGGACTTTTGCCCTGGCTCCTGGAAATTCTCCTGCAGGTTTCCCCTACAGGTTTTTGGGTAGAAAAGTGGTAAGCCTCCTTCATACCTTCCACAGTCTGGGCACAGGGGTCAAAGTAGGCACCATTCTGCCTGCCTCTTTCCCAATGTCCAGATGGCACACATTACCCCATAGCTTGGTGTGTGGAGTGCCTTCACTATTGTCTTATAGGCAGGGTAAAGAAAGCAGGAGAGAGAAAGGGTAGGGGGAAGCAGGGCATTAACAAAGACCTTGGGTTTGGGTAGGAGTCATAGGAGGAGGGAGCTGCTGGGCTTGCCCTTCTTTCTCATGCTTCACTGCGCCCTCTCTCACCCCCACCTTGCCCTCAGGCCTCTGCTAAACCCACCCTATGTTGCTGGTTCCTCCCCCCCAGGCCCGGCTTCTCTAAAGAAGTCAGGAAAGCTGGACTTCTGCAGTGCCCTCTCCTCTCAGACCAGCTCCCCGCGCATGGCTTTCACCCACCACCCGCTGCCCGTGCTAGCTGGAGTGAGACCAGGTGAGAACCGAGGTTGGGGAAGGGGGGGAAGAGGGGGCGGCTGGTGGGAGGGGCGTGGGGGATAGCCCCAAACTGTCAGGGGCGTGCTCCCTCTCCTCCCTCCTTCCCTCCGCCCCGGCTCTCTCGGAGTAGGCCAGGCCAGGGCAGCAGGGCATGGCATGGGAGTGGTCCCAGACTGGGAGTGGCATCTCTCCCCTCCCAGCTTCTTGAGTAGGCCAGGGCAGGGAATGGGGTCTGGGGAGGCTGCGGGGAGGGTTATGGAAAGCAGCCTTAAACAGCAGTGCCTCCCCAACTTTCATTCCCCCAGCCCTCTGAGGGGGTCAGTGGAGCAGCCCAAATTGGCAGTGAAATCCTTTCCCCACTTCTCCCTTTCTCTTTGAGTAGGGCAGATCAAGACAGCAAGGAAGGGAGGGTGTAGGGAATCTTCTTGTCTGCTAGATGAGGCCTACTAGATTTCCCTGTCTGCCCCACCCCTTCCTCTTCCGTCTCAGAGTGGCAAAAGGCAGAGGCTCTTAGTGGGGCAGGGCTGGGGATTCAATATAGTCCCCCTTTCCACTTTCTACTGACCTGTGCCAGGAAGTTCCAAGGTCATGAGAGGCTAAGCAAGGTCCTGAAGGGAAGGAGACAATTGTTTTGGATCCAGGTTCATTCCCCAGAGGTCCCCGTCTTCCTTCGTGTTTGAGGATGAGTCTTCTGGTTACATTTGGATCGGCAAGGACGCGCTTCATTTCCTACGACTCCTTCCCCCTTCCCTTCCTTATCCTCTCATCTCCTGGCTGAGTCTTAGGCCCATGCTCCTCAGAGTCATCTTAGGAAGGCAATGTGCATATATTCTATGTATATGTGTGATGAGAATGCTCCCAGTGAAAGGGACGTAACCCTCAGGCCAGCCCTCTTAGTTCTACCACTGAGGGTTGCTGTGCTATCCTAAGTCATGCCAGCTCTGCTGCTTTCTGTCAGGATGACTTTGGGCAAGTCACTTCCCTTACTGGACCTCAGTTTCCTCATCTATATATTGAAGGGATTGGACTAAGTGATCTATTAGGTCCATCCTAACCCTGAGCACTATGAACCTATAACCATTTTTCTCACTCTAATGGACAAGACCTGGGAAGGGACCACCAGTGACCAAGGCATATAGGCTCTTTTTGAGGAGAGTGCAGTCTGGCAGGAAGTCAAGAGTAGCAGAGGGTTCATAGTCAGTCTTTTGTTCACTTCTCACTGCTCTGATGGCACCAGCAACCTTCCGTCTAGACTCTGGAGACATCCTCGGACATCCTCTTCAGGGCCTTCAGTTTTTTCTTAGATGCAAGCCCAGCCCAAGTTCTGGTCCCTTCTGAAGAGCAGTGGAAAGGATGAGGAGTTTGGTTCCTTGTAGCTCTCGTTTCAGGGTTCAGGATCCCCTGGCTAGGAGCCCAGAGGCAGGAGAATCCAGGACAGGCAGAACTCAGACTCAGGGAGGGAAGGAGAGAATGTGTCTGGGGGGAGAAGGGTCTGAAGGCAGCCCCCTCCCCATTATCTTGGGCTCCAGACTCTGCTTTTATGAACTCCAAAGAGAAGCTAAATCTCCTTTGCCCCCTAATGAAACTGAGAGCAAAAGCTAGTTGATTAGAAACAGACGGGGAGGGGGAGGGGGAGGCATGGAAACAGGGAAAGGCTAAGGTTGGGGGGGGAGGTGGGGGGAGCAAGGAAGAGTGTGTGTGTGTGTGTGTGTGTGTGTGTGTGTGTGGTATATATGTATGTGCCTGTGCTTGTGTCTGTGAAGTGTGTGCATATGTCTGTGAGAGCTTTGCATGTGTGTTTGCATCTGTGAGGAGTGTACCTTTGTGTAGTCATTGCAGCAGTATATGTTTATGCCTGTGAAGGAGGGCTGAAGCACATGTATGTGTGCCTCTGACATGAGAATGTGCCCATGAGGTGTAGTAATATTATGTATGTGTGGCTGTATATCTGGGGGGGAATGTAGTTGACTCTTGGGCAACATCCATTATCTCCTGATCAAATGAGGTCTTTACAAAGCCCTCAACACATTACCTAGCACATATGGGCACTTAATCAACTCTTATTCTCTCTTACTAAGGCCTACTCCAGTGCCTCATTGGGGCATGGAGGTGGGCCTGGGGAGCCTCAGCTCTAGGAGGGCTGTCATGTTTGAAAGGCTTTGTATATAGGGACAGTGATGACCTCTCTTTGTTGTCTGAGAATCAGCTTAGAGGCTGTCAGCTAGGCAAATGAATTGTTCAGCCATGGGGACTCTCGGAGACCATTTATGAAATTGTAGAGGGGCTGCAATCTGTGTTTGTGGGAAGTTCTCCTTTCCTAAATCAGAGATCTTTGAACTAGTGGAGTGTCTGGTGTGAGATGGGACTACAAGGAGAAAGTCTTGGTATTTGTATGTGGCTGCAGGGTTGTGTCCATATACATAAATGATAATGAGCACAGGTCTGGAGAGATAGATGTGGAGTACAGGGGAGTAGCAGCAAACCATTTTATCAGCCTCCTCTCCCCCAACCCTTCAGTTCTCCATGCGTTCCCACCCCCAGGATCCTTAGCCTTCTGCCCTGCTCCCTGGCCCCTACCCCTTCAGCCCCGCCATATCTATGCTTCCCAATCCATGATTTCTTGTCCTGTGGTACCTACAGGGAGCCCGCGGGCAACAGCCTCTGCTCTGCATTTTCCCTCGACCTCCATCATCCAGCAGTCGAGTCCTTACTTCACCCACCCGACCATCCGCTACCACCACCACCATGGCCAGGACTCACTGAAGGAGTTTGTGCAGTTCGTGTGCTCGGATGGCACAGGCCAGGCCGCAGGGCAGGTGAGCTTCGAGGGAGCCCCAGAAAGCCTGGGTTGCAATCTCATCCCTCCCGTCTTGCTGTCCGTCTGCTGTCTGTCTGTCCGTCTGTCCATTCGTCTGTCTGTCTGTCTATCTTCCTGTCTCTTGGAGCCAGTAGAGAGACTTGTGAACCCCAAGATCCACCTAGAGGCCGGTCAGTAAGGAGCCAAAAGTATCCTCAAGCCCGACTCAGGGGAATAAGACAAGGAGAGGAAGTATTTGAAATCTAGCCCTGTTTTCTGGGACATATCATATAGTGCCCAGCTATGAAGGGTTAGGACTTTGGGACAACCTGACCCAACAAAGGGGTCTTCTTCCAAAGGAGCTCCTTGTCTAGCAGGCTCCTCCCTGGAGCCATAGTCTCATCTCCTTACTGGAACATTGGGGATCAGAAAACAGTGGTTTCTAAACCACTGTGCTAAATGCTAAAGCCATAGCTGGACGATGCCATGTGGCAGGGAGAAGGTTCTTTTTTAGGGGGAGGCATAGCCTTTAAACTATACCCTTTCATTTCTGCTTCTCCATTACAACCCAATCCTTGACAACTAAAGAGTCCCCACAGTGGAGAATTGGCCCCATTTAGGGCCTGGAATCCAAGTAAGGGGAGGAGGAATCCAGGAGGCTCCAGGTTCAGAAATATCCACTAGGTTGCCCCAAGGTATCTCAGAGCGGTGCTCCAGTACAAACATGGTTAGAGACAGAGGTTTTAGAACCAAGCCAGCTCTCTTTTCACAGAGTTTAACCATAGTTTCCACCTTATTCCCCTCTTCTCCCAGGTTTGGCAGGATGGGCAGTGAAGGTCGTTAACACTCAATGCCCAGGTCACGCCACCTCCTCACCTCTTGACTCTTCAGTTTCTAGGTTCCTCCTCACTCTCTTCCCATTTTCCTTTCTTTCTTATGACCTCTTTACTTCCCCCTCTTCCCTTCCCATCCTGTGAGGGTGTCTGTTGCTGATTGTGTAGCTCACTCCTTGGCACTGGCTTTCCTCCCACTCCGTTCACCTCTATCTCCACCATTAACCCCCAAAAGTGCGGGTGTCTGGAGGGGAAGAGTTCAGATAATCCTGATGGTTTCTAGTGCTTTCTGCCAGTGCTTGTTTGGACTGTAGGGCCATAGGGTGCCAGCCATCCTACCTCCCAGTCCCAGAGGAACTCAGAGCCAGGAAAATGGATCCTAAAGAATAGTGAACCTTGTCTTCTCATCACTGGAGGCTGCTGTGCAGCCCTACACCTAGCCCTGGGATTGACAGGGATAGAGACCAGGATCTGTTTGGTCCTGCTGAAACCAATCCCAGCAAGGAGAAGTGCTGAGAGTAGAGTGACTTCAAGATAGCTTATGAGGCTCTGGAGATTCTGTTCAGTCTAAGAGTCTCTGGGCCTGTCCCCATGTCACTTATAGGACTAGCTTGACTTTTCTAGTGTCCTGCAGACCAGAATGGCCCACTAAGAAGCTCTAACCCAGTAGACTGAACTTAGGTGTGGGGGCATCATATAAATGGCCCTTCACCTTAATCATTTTTCCTCTGTGTTGACTGTTGCTAGTCAGTCCCATCTTGAGTTGAAAGCTTCTGTTGTCTTGGGGGTAGAGGATTCTTTCCCTTCAGCAGAATCAGGCTCCTGTCCTGACAGTGACAAGCATGGTTGGGAAGAAGGCACAAGGATTCAAACAGACACAGCACCTGTGCTGCAGCAGCCCAGCTAGGCTGGGGGATGACCTTGAGATTCAGTGGGTAAGGGTGGCCTCACTTTTTCAGGGCTTGGGGGAAAAGTAGTAAGAGGAAAAAGCATCACTGCTTGGGGTCTGCAGGAGCCTCTGAAGGCAGCTGTGGCAGGGTATCCAAAGCCTCCCCAGAGAAAAGGATGCTCTGCTAAGGTTATCATAAGGATGAAACCAATGAAGTTGGTGATGGGTGAAAGGCCCAAGGCCATAGGACCTACCTAAGGGAGAGAGAGAGCTGTGTACAAGCCCTAGCTCATAAGGCCCAAATGGAGAAAGCCCAAGGCAAAATGGAAACACAACTTGGAAGAGCTCTCGGAAGAGGCCATAGGAAACTCTGCCCCCGCCGCCCCATTTGAAACCTCTTTCAAAAAGAAGTGAAAAAAGAAATAATTGAGAGAAAAAGAACTAGTTGTGCTGGTTTCTAGAAAAGCTTGCATATTTACCAAAGATGCTTATTGTGGCCAGATTAACAAAGGAGAGCTCAGTGGAAAGGGTATTGGACTTCTCAGAAGGCCTGAGTTCCAGCTTTTACTAACTATTGGACCTTGGGCATTTCCATTCTGCTTTCTAGATCTCTGTTTTCCCACCTGTAAAATGAGTGGATTGGATAGGATGAGCTCTCGCAGTTTGTGATTCTAGAAGCGGAACAGAACTAATTGAAAATTATTTCTAAAATTTGGATATTTTCAAATGATTGAGCTCTGATGCCAGGTTCAGGTCAATGGGATTCAGAGTTGTCAGTTGTTTGATCGAGATGCTGAATGATCCTAAAGCTCCCTTCCAGCTGTAATATCCTATGAAATCCTATGTGACAATTCAACACACATTTATTAAGCACCTGCTGTGTGTAGAGCCCCATATTGGACAAACATGTTGGAAGAGTAGAAAGGAACAAATGTTATGCGTATCCTTCCCAAAGTGTACTTGGGGCCACTCAGCTGATTCCTGTGAAGTTCTTGGATCCAGTCCCTGTGAATTAGGCCCTGATTAAGGCAGTTCTGGGGAAGAACCAGACTGGCCTGTGGCTGTTAGGCCTCTCTGAAGTGCTTAAAGCTCTATAAAAATGTGAGTTATTATTATTGTTATGATTATTCTCTTACCACAATGGGATAAGACTGGGGAGACAAGGCAAAGCAACAACTGTTGTATCTCAGGAACATTTGTGATCCATTCTGTGTTTGTCCCTTCACATTGAAAAGCTTTTCCTCTCTGGCCTTTTCTGTTTGCCTGGGGAAGTGGGGAGTTAGTGGGAAAGGCAGAGTTCCGGAATGACCGTCACTCACTTTGTGGGGCTCAGGTCCAGGACTTCCTAGCAGTGTTCTCCACTTGGAGAGCGGAACAGAGGGTATGAATTGGTTACATCCATCAGAGGCTGTCGTTTGGCAATTGTCACCCCGGAATGGACGGGCAGAGTTAAGTTGTATGATTCGGTAGGCTGCCATTCTGAAGTATTCAGGGTCCTATACCTGTACAAAGAACAGAGTAACACTGTGCTGGATGAGGTGGGTGGGAAATCCCAATCCTAAGAACATTCCCCCCAAATGCCAAATCTCCCTTAGCCACAGTCTGAATGGGACTTATCAGTGTAGTAAGTTCTGGAATTGGAAAAGCTAGCAGGGCATCAAGCTGTCGTAAAGAATTAACCGTGAGAGAACCTGAACGTCACCCTTGCCTCGATACATTCCAGGAGGAAGAAGAAGGGCATAGATTTGAGTAGCTGTTTCTGGAAGGAAATGCTGATTGAAGCTGGTGGTCATGTTGCTAGAAGAAAGGATGGGGATGGGGTAGAGAGGAGATGGTCAGAATGTTCTCCATCATCTCTGTGGATAGAGCAAGTCAGGGTGTGTCTGGAACAACTATTGGAGGAACTTAGGTTAGATGGAAGGAAGCACTTGATTGGAGGCTTTAGACACTGGAACTGAAATGTATGGATTTTCTTTTCTGGACAGTGTTTAAGGGTAAAAGACAAAATTATCTTCACCGGGCAGTGTAGGTATACTATTATCTAGAGGACTTCCATGCTGTGGGGTGGGGATGAGGAGGTGTCAGAGTTTTCTCTTCTCAGGATTTCTCCTTAATGTGGACATCTGCTGAGGGTCACAGGCATGGAGATCACACTTCCCTCTTTCCAACAGGCCCAGATCCAGCTAGGCCAGAGGAGCCTAATGGGGAGGGACTTGGGGGTGAGTTGTGGAGGGTGCACAACACAACGCCGTCTTTTCTTTTCACAGGAGACAATGTGCAGGAGCCATATATTTATCCTGGTGCAGCTTCATTTATCGCTTTTTACATAATATATCAAAACATGCATTTTGAAAATTTCCTAATTAAAACATTTTTCCAACCAAGAATGACCGATAACCCAACTGAACCCCCAAACTTAAAGGAGGAAAAAAAAGAGCAACATCTGAGAGACCAAAATGAGAAACTAACCCCCTGCCCAGCCCAGCCCAGCCCCTGCCCCACGGAGGAGACAAATACTGCATCTTTAACGAGGGAGCCAGTGCTCCAGCCAGCGAGGCTGTACCTCCTAAGGGAGCCGCCAGCCCCAGCTCAGGGAGCGTGTGTCTGTGTGCCATGTGATGTGCGTTCATACGTCACTCTATTTATGTTGTTCGCAGCCTAACGGTAGTGGCCAGGGCAAAGTCCCGGGGTCATTTTTGCTACCACCGCCGCCTCCAGTGGCCAGACCTGTGCCCCTTCCTATGCCTGATACCAAATCCACCAGCACTACCCCAGACGGCGCCGCCTTGACTCCTACATCACCCTGTAAGTGGACGATGAAAAACCAAAATCAAACCAAAAGTCCCTGGCCCACCAGCACCAGTCAAATTACCTACCTGAGAGCTCCAGGACACAGCACAGAATCCCAGACCAACCGTGGCCTCCACCCAGCCAGCACCCCCACCAGACTCCCCACTGCCTGCTGCTCCGGGCCCCTCCGGGGGGCGGGAGGGGGCACGGGCCAGGGCGGGGCTGGGCCAAGGGGAGCTGGCGGGGAGGGAATGGGGGGTGGGTGCAGCCATCCCATCCTCATGCGTGATTGCTGTTTTTTTTTTCTTTTTGTCTCCTTGTTCTTCCCACCCCCGCCCATGCAACCCTAAAAACAAAAACAAAAACCCACCACCAAAAACAAGCAAAAACAAAAATAAAACAAAAAACCAAACATGAAACAAAATCCAGTCTCAAGGCAATCCTATCACCATCACCTTACCACCATTCCCTCTTTACCTCACCCTTCATTCCGTAAGGCCTTTAAAGATGCAGTACCTTCGCCTCCTCACACCCTCACTCCTTCAGTTTTACATTTGGTTTCTCATTGTTGTTCCTCTTATTTTTTCTTCCCTCCACCTCCCCTCCAGCTCCCAACACCCATCCTCCCATCCAGAGGTAGGGGCAGAGAGCCCTGAGCCTCACCCCCCTCCCCTCCCTGAAGTTTCCTAAGCAACAAGAAGTTTTGGCAAAGGGAAGACCAAGTCAAAAGGCATAGAGGGCACGTCTGGCCCAGAGACAGGGAGAAGATTCGAGGGAGATAGAGATGGGGCAGTGGTGCCTATGGGAGGAAAAGGAAGGGCACATTCAGCAGACTGACTGTCAAAGGTGGGCTGGGAGTCTCGGCTTTAAGGCTTTCCTGTAGACTGTAGACTCTAGACCGTGGTGGGGCAGAGGCAGGCTCATTTCTCCATGTTTTTCACTGGCTTGTTGGCCTTTTTTATGTCTCTCTCTTCCTTTCATGGTTTTGGTTCTTTTGTTCTCCATCTTCTCCATGTCTTCCCCTCGTTTCCATTCACCATCCAACACACAGGCTTGGTCCTTGGGAGAAGGGTGGGAGAAGGTACACCCTGAATTATCAGGGCGGGGGCCTCTACCAGAGAGAGATGGAGAAGAGTTTGGTGAGCATGTGGTCTCTGGTGTGTGTCTGGTAAGGGCCCAATTCAGGCCCAGCAGTGGAAAGCAGGTGGGGACCCCCGTTCCAGTGCCCAACCCTAAACACATTTTTCTCTTTGCCCTTCTGGGGAGACAATAGGCAGAAGCTGACATAAGTTTCGGCACCCCACATCTACACAGCCCTCCCTCTTCCTTCCCTATACTGCTTCCCAGTAGTATTGTCTAATCATGAGCCCTTGCAATAGTGGCCCTCAATCTCAGGTCCTGAGGATATCAGGACCATTTGGCCTGATTCAGCTTGTCAGTTCTAGAGAATATCATAGTATTAAACTCAGTCCCTCCTGGGAGAGGAAGAGTCCACGTGAGTTGTAGGGGTAGTGAGCTTGAGCTGAACTGGGCCTTCTGGTCAGACTCTTTTCATACCTTTGCTGGACCCAAATCTGAGCTTCCAGCATGGCTTTACCTGACATTGCCCAGAACTGCCCAGAATGTAAAGAGGAGCAGTCCTGGACTAACCTTGAAGAGTAGAGTCTCCTTTTTGGGTCAGACCAAAGATTGTCTCACTAGCTCCTGGTGTGGAACAGGCTGGGAAGTAACCACAGCCTCAGTCTATGCCAAGGGAATCTTCCCTCTTGCCTCATGTTTCCCTAAAGCCTTTTGCCAGCATAATGTTTGTCACAGTAAGAGGAGTTGTTTGTGGGCCTAGAGGAGCACCTGAGCTCCCTAGACATAGTGCCTGCCCCTAGTGCCCATCTAGTGGGTGAGGCAGGAACAGGGGGGACATTGGAACTGCTAGAGAGGGAGCTGGTATTCCAAGCCCCCTCCCCCTCATTCTCCGGGACCCTCAGGACAGGTGTGATTTGGGGCTTAGAAGTGGGGTGGGAGGGAAGAAGTACAAGTGTGGCTGTGTTATATTATAGTATGCAATATGAGTATAAATGTGCATCTGAGAGAGACCATGAGTGTGTGTATGTGTGTGTGTATATGTGTGTGTGTGTATGTGTGTGTGTGTGTGTGTGAGATCTGGGCAGGGGGAGGCCCAGAGGACATCCTCCCCTCCTAAGTTGGCCCCTATGGGCAATGCCTAGCTGGAAGGGATGGGGTGATAACATTTCCTAACCAAGCCTCTCTCTCTCTCTCTCTTTCTCAGCAGCCCTCGAGGGCAGTGTCCGGGTAGGGGGGACAGGGCCAACTTGGACTTATCAAGTCTCTCCCTTTCTCCCTTCCTTCCCTCCCCCGCAGCATTCTCAACGACAGGCGCCTCCTCTGCCAACCGGTTTGTCAGCATCGGACCCCGGGACGGCAACTTTCTAAACATCCCACAGCAGTCTCAGGTAGGAGGGCTCTGCCCATCTGCCCCTCTGCATCTAGGAGGCCAGGGAACCGGCCAGCAGAATCCAAAATGTGCTGTCTTGGAAATCAGAGGGCCTGGGCCCCACCTGTGGCTCAGCCACACTGGCCGTCTGGGCTCAGATGCCTTGTCTGAGTGTGTCTTGGGGAGGAGGGGGTTGAACTCCATGACCTCTAAGGCACCTTCTAGCTAGCTATAATCCTATAGTCCTAGGCTCTTTCTTGAGACTGTGACTGGGAAGTGGAGAGAGGATGGGGCTCCTCTAAGGAAAGGGAGAGTAACCCAGTCTTTTATGCCCTATCAGGAGCAGGGGGTCTGTGGTCAGGAAGAAGGCAGAACCAGAGCCTGGGCCCAGGGTTTCCCTCCTCCTGGCTGAGCTTGCCTCACTCCCCAGGCAGGCCCCAGGCTCACAGGCTAATCAGCTAATTGGCTAATTAGCCCTGGCAGCCCAGGCCCTAGGGGAAGGCAGCCAAGGCCACAGTGCTGGGGTTGGGCTGACTGGATGGGGAAGGCTGGGAAGGCCATGAAAATCTGAACTTCAAGGCCTTAGGGGAGGAATAGGCCATTATACCCCTTGACTCTATTCCACCAGTTGGCTAAGCTCTAGACTGGAGAGCCGGGGTTCAGGACCCTCCCCACTTTCAGAGTTTATCAGCCTTATAGCATGTCCTGTCAGTTGAGACAGAGCAAGCCTGGGTGGGCTCCAGCCTACCCATCTCAGGATAATAGCCTCTTCCCCCAATCTCCCAACTGAGTGCTATTAAGGAGAAAGGGAGCCTGCCCTCCCCCCAAAAAGCACACACACACACACACACACACACACTCACACACTCACACACTCACACATTGAGTCTCTTCAGTATTCCATGGACACTCAGATGGGATGGAGTTTGAGAAAGGCCCTTGGCATAATGAGGACCAACTTCAACCCCCCTCCCATGCCCCTGTCCTTCACTTCAAGGATTCCCTCCCCCAACACACACAACACACTGCTGCTATGCACATACCAATCTCCTCTTGACTTTGACACAGTCAAGTCTATTGGAACTCCACACACACACACCCCATGGAAGATTTGTCTACCCTTCCTCTTGAGCCTTGTGAGAGACAGAACAGCAGAATCCAAAGAGAGGAAAAAAGAGAGTGGGTGAAGGATAGAGGCCAGTCCTCTTTCTGCTAAAGCTCAGTGTCTTTGCTGCCAGGCCTGCAACCAGAGAAAGTTAGTTGAAATTTTATGTGGTTTGGGTTCCCCCCCTCCTTTCTACCCCCCTCAAAAAAAAAAAGCCAAAAAAAATGCAAAAAGAAACAACTTTGTCAAACTTCAGAACTTCAGAGCTCCCTAGCGGCAAGGAGGGGAGGGGAGCTTCAAACCCCCCTCCCTGCCTCCCACCCCCTCTCCCCGGAGTCACGTCTGACCCGTCTGGTTTCCCAGAGCAACCAGACATGATGTAACACCCAGATGAACTTGAACTTGGGGGTGTTGAGAAGAAAAACAATGGCCCTGAGCAGGGGCTGGAGCCAGCCCCCTCAGCTCTGTGCCAGGGAGGCCGAGAGAGCCCTGCTGGCAGAGTACCGGGAGAGAGGGGGGAGGAGAAAGAGAGAGAGAGAGAGAGAGAGAGAGAGAGAGAGAGGAGGGCGGGCAGAGGAAGAGAGGCCAGTTGGGTTTCCACATAGCTCTGGACTAGGCAGAAACAGAGGGTGGCTGAGTGGATCCCCTCCTGCCTGCCCAGAGTCCTGGGGCCTGGGCTGTTCTGACAGCACTCCAGGGATGGCTGAATTGTACCCCACCCCCACCCCAAATTCTCTCTTGCTAGTTATCTGGCTTCAGTGTTCTCAGAGCCAAGTCAAAGTTCTGAGAAGTTTGGGAAAGAGTTTCCCCACTAAATATTCACATAGGACAGGGGGTGCTGGCAAGTAGGTGTCTATGTTTGGGGAGGGGGTAAAAGAGCAGGACAAACTGTAAGTCCCTTGGGCTTGGGTCTGTGCTCCGTTGGTTAAAGATGGGGGGGGTGCTGTTACCACAGTAACCAGTGACTTTAGCTGATCCCCCAGAGCACCAGATGGAGACAGAACAAAAGAGTGAGGAAAGAAAAGAGAATTCCAACAATTTGCTCTCTTTCCCCAGGCAGTGCCTTGTCCCATGTTTTAATCAGTTGGGGGAGAGACAAGGAGGAGTGTGCAATAAGAGGCTTCCATTTAGGCCCTCAGATTCTAGTCCCTTGGGGGAGGGGTCAGACCCCCTACCTGAGCCACCTATTAAATGCCTCCACTCAATCCCTGGCTCTGAGACTGAATCCTCCCTCCCTCTCTCCCTCATGGATAAAGCTATCCATCCATCCATCCATCCATCCATCCATCCTTTTATTCATCCCCCATCCATTCATGCTTCCATCCATCCATCCATCCATCCAGCTGTGTACTCAGTACAGGAAAGGCCATTAAATCACACACCTCTGGAGATCTTGGCCTATTGGCTCTTTGCAGAGACATATTTCCTTAACTGGTAGCTGCCCACTACAGTATTGCCTTCTTTGTCTCCAGCTGGGACTGGTGACTTGGTCCCTGTGACCTGAATCTAGAAAGATACTTGGCTTTGGGATCTCAGAGGGGACCAAGACCCAGAACAGTGCTGAAATAGGACTTGAACCCATACATCCTAGGGTGACGAGGAGCAGTGTCCTAAAGTGGAAAGAGCAATGGCTTTCTTTTCATAGTATCATAGGATCTGCATTCAAATCTCAGCTCTGTCACTACCTGTGTGACCCAGGACAATTCACCTTCTTTCTCTGTGCTTTGGTCTTTATCAGTGAAATGGGGGGGTGGGGCTTGGGGACCCTAGATGATTTCCAACCTGGAAGATCCTTTCTACCCTCAAGTTCTTTGATTCTAGCAATAAAAGGGTCCTAGTCAGGCCCATCTTTCCCTTATCCTGCTTCTTTACATAAGGAACTCCTCTAGGCGTACAACCCCCTCAGTGCTATCCCTTCTCCCTAGATGGTCCTCCTGATCTATAGTCAATTTCAATCAATCAGTCATTAAACATTTATTAAGTGCCTACTATGTGCCAGGCCCTATGCTAAGCTGGAGATACAACAAGAGGCAAAAGATAGTCCCTGACCTCAAGGAGCTTGCAATCTAATGGGGCAGGCAGAATGACAATGTACAAACTTAGTTTCTTTCAACTTTCTCCACATGTGCTGGTATCAGGAAATAGATATATGACAATGCCCATCTGGTCTCCCCAGATTCCCAGTGAGGGCTTCTATAAACCCAGCATGGCGGAAAGAGTCCTGGGGACTTGGGTTCATTTCTTTACTGTGACTCTTAAGATATGTGTGACCATAGAATCATAGTTCTAGGGATGAAAGGGGCCTCCAAGGTCATCTCTTTGAACTCCTTCATTATACATTTGAGGAAACTGAGGTCCAAGGAGGGTAATCTTCAAAAGAGGTAGTCATCTTCAGAAGCAGAATTGGAACTCAGGTCCTTTGAGGACTTTCAGTCCTTCAGAGGACTTTCTGCTCTGCCATTCTGTGTCCTTAAACAAGTTACTTGATACCCTCCATCTCTGCTACCTTATCTATAAAATGGGAAACTTACATTGCCTCCCTCACAGTGTGGAAAGCACTTTATAAGCTACATAAGCATTAAAGCACTATAGAAATATGAATGACTAGTAACTAATCATTCTTACTCATCAGTTATTAATAAATATGATTAGTTGTTAAGAAGCATAATTATGAATTAAACATAGAACTTCCATCTTTCCCCTACCTGGAGAGTAGCCCCATGATTAGGATAAACTTCTAAGCTGACCCCAGCCAGGGTACTTGAGGGGGAGTATAGTAGCCCAGAAAGCATAGGTATTCTTCTCCCAGCCCCTCCACAGACAAATGAGCCAAAGGACTAAGATACCCACAGGAGAGTGTGGAATCCCTTGCCACCCACTGCCTCCTCTTCCATAGAAGGGTGAGAGGACTGTAGCTCTGTGCAGTTAAGGGATTGGGGCGGGGGAGATAAGGAGGTTTTGTCTATTGAGGACAAACCTATAATTCTATTTGCTCTTGGGTGCTGAAGCCCACGAGGCAAGATTTTATGGGAATGTAGTGCCCCCTGCTGGCTAATAGTGGGAATCACCCATTCATGGATTCCCAGAGGTCCTGAAAGAGGAGGATCCTGGTGCAATTGAGGGGGAAGCAGCTTCACTTGTGCAAGCAGGCGGCTGCAGATGGTAACA